TTTTGTACATACTGTAGGAAAATTAAACTGGCAGTAGTTTTAACAACTTTTATGGAACAATTATGCTCTTTACGTTGGTAAACACATTGTTACCCTAAGTTTATGAAACATAACAGATATTGTACCATTAAATACATTATAGTAATTTGTACAATTTTTTTTTTATATTTAAAATTATTGATATGAAATTCCAGAAATGGGAAGAAATCTGCGCCACTGGAACTTTCAAAGCCCAGAACACAATAGAATATCGAATTTCCAGGCAAAAACGTATTCTAAGTAATTTTACTTGTAATCAGAAAATGTTTGCTTAATTATTCTTTGATTAAAAGCTGTATTCAATGTACAATGTATCTGAACTAAAAAGTATTGGTCCTGATACTACCGAATACTTTCTGTATTTGCTTAAGTACTACAATTAAGTATGTTTTTAAAATATACAAGAGAATAGGTGGAGTCTTAATAGCTCTACTTCAATATTGTCAAGAACTATCCAAGGAACAGTGAAATTTGATTGTTCCTGAACAGTTTTGAGCAAGATTAAAACAAACCTAAATACATAAATTATTATAAACACGCTCTTGATGTCCTAATGAACACATTAAATGCAAAAATGATTTTAGAAATACTGATGATTCTATAACTATTAAAATTATTGTTTATTTTATTCGAACGGAATGTCATAAATTTTGTCAAAAAGAGCGTGCTTTATTATTTGAAGAGCACCACATCCTTATCAATAATTTATAAAGGTTAAAGAAACACTTGTCCAACCATAATCGGACATTTAAACAGTCAGAATCAAATCTTATTGGCGCGCCCACTTAAAAAAAAAAACAAACGTTAAGTTTTGCTATACAATAAGCGGGGCAAGTGTTCTTCGACCTTAAAACATAACACAGATAAAAAATGCTACTAAAAACTAACTGACATTTTTTTAAACATAAAATGCTGTATTTTCTAATATTAATGACAGGGTTACTCCCAAGTAATCAAAATTACTTTTTATTTGCTTGTTTGATCTGCAAAAATGTTCAGGTTTAATTAATTTCTCATATATATGTATTTAACCAAAGAATATTATAGACTAACGTCTCTAGAAGTCTCGCACGTATTCTGATTTTTGATACCTCGATGGACGCCGACTTTTGCCGGTAGGGACGCTGGCTCGAGTCTATTGCCCACTGTTGCCGAGTTGTCAGTGCTGTTGATTCGGCGTCCAGCCAGCGAGCCAGCGTCCGGGGAGGGAGACAGACGCGTGCCAAGAGGAATTAGGAAGTTAAACATATATTTTCTAACATATTTTATAATTTACCAACGAATATCATAGATGGATGCTATTATATCATTTTCTTTAGGTTTTTTTCAGTATATTTGGCGAATTTGCCACTTAGAAATTTATGTTTAATTTCGAATTATGAATTATCTATTTATTTTCCAGTAGATCGGTTTATTTACCAACAAGTAAATTTTGGGGTCGGTCAAGTTTCCGCCCGTATTAAACAAATTCCAAAAATAAATAAACCATATTAATTTTGGACACTATGACTAAAATATTGCACACCCACACAACACAACGAAAACTAGAGCAGTTTTTTAAACTGGGGGCAAACTTGACCGTTCCCCCTTGTTTGTCTTAAACATGAAAAATTCTTATGCTACTCTGTTCACCTAAATTTGCACAATTTCGCATGCCTATTTTCAAAGTTTGCACACTTTTAGTTTGCACACTTTTTGGGAAAAGTTAAAGTAGGTATGTTGTTTTTTTAAAGATAATTCCCCAAGTCAAAAATTCAATAACTATGTTGGCAGCACAAGCCTTTTCTACATAAAAAAATTGAAACCATTGACAATTTTACATTGCATTGCCAACATAATGTCATTTTGACTTTTATCTTAAAAAAAAAAAACTTTATGAGGTATTAAAAATTTGCACTATTCCCGCCGTTTGTCGAAAAATTGAAAAATCTTATGCTACTCGCTTTGGCTAATTTTGCACAATCTTGCGCACGTTTCTGGGGAAAGTTATAAGGCATTAAAAATTTGCACTTCTCCCCCGTATGTTGAAAAATTGAAAGATCCTATGCTTGTCTCCCTCTCCCTCGTTTTTCAAAAAGTTGAAAAATCTTTATGCTACTAGGTTCACCTAATTTTGCACAACTTTGCACACCTATTTTCAATTTTGCAAAATGTGCACTTTCCCGCCGGTTTTTTGAGAAAATGAAAAATTCTTATGTTACTCAATTCGGGTTGAAAATAGGCGTGCAAAATTGAGTGAACCCAGTAGCAGGAGTTTTTCAATTTTTTGACAAACAGGAGAAAACGTGCAAATTTTTAATACAACATTTAACTCCCAGAGGAATGTGTAAAATTAAAAAAAAGGTGTACAAAATTGTGCAAAATTAGCCGAAGCGAGTAGCATAAGAATTTTTCAAGTTTCAGATAAACGGGGAAAAAAGTGCACATTTATCACACCTCATAACTTTTCCCAGAAGAATGTGCAAAATTTGAAAATAGGTGTGCAAAATTGTGCAAAATTGTGTAAAATTAGGTGAACCTAGTAGCATTGAGGTTATATTAATTTTTTGAAAAACGGTGGGGAAAATGCAGATTATTGATATTATCTATTGATCTATTCAAAATCCGATGTCCAAATATAAAAGTAAAATTTACCTTTACCTTTGGACTACGGATTGTGAATAGGATATACCTTATAACTTTCCCCAGAAGCGTGTGCAAAATTTGAAAATGGGTGTGCAAAATTAGCCGGAGCGAGTAGCATAATAAAATAACTATTTCAATTTTTCGACAAACGAGAGGGAAAGTGCAAATTTTTAGTGCCTCATAACTTTCCTTAGAGGAGTGTGCAAGATTGTGCAAATTAAACCAAAGCGAGTAGCATAAGATTTTTCGACAATCGGCGGAGATAGTGCAAATTTTTAAGCTTCATAATTTTCTCCAGAGAAGTGTGCAAAATTGTGCAAAATTATGTGAACCGAATAGCTGAAGGAAATTTAATTTTTTTGAAAAACGAGGGTGAAAATGTAAATTTTTGATACCTATCAACTTTCCCTGAAGGCGAGTGCAAAATTAGCCGAAGCGAGTAGCATAGAGTTATTTTCGCAACAAGTGCGCAAAGTGCTACTTTTCCGCACGCAAACACAGTTATACGAACGAAGCGAAGCGGAGTTCGGATAAGTGTTTGCGTGCGGAAAAGACACTTTGCGCATGTGTTAGGAACGAAATTTTTCCTACGAGCTTCATATCAGGTAGGTAACAACGAAAATTTAAAACAAAAAAAAAACATACTTTGCTCAATTATTTTCAATTAACTTGAACCGATCCTATTCATTCATCAAAAAATTACATAACAAAAAAAAAGAACAGAAAAAAAGGAATTTTTCAAGTTTCAGATAAACAGGGAAAAAAGTGCACATTTATCACACCTCATAACTTTTCCCAGAAGAGTGTGCAAAATTTAGAAATAGGTGTGCAAAATTGTCCAAAATTAGATGAAACGAGTAGCATAGGTGTCCATCAATTTTTTCAAAAACGGGTTATGCAAATTTTTGATACGATATAACTTTCCCCAGAAGGGTGTGCAAATTTTGAAAATCGGTGTTCAAAATTATGGGATATTTATTTTTGAAATTTGTCTATTTGTCGAAAAAAGCTCAAAGACGGGGGTAGTCCTGACAACCTGCCCACCTCTCGCCCTGTCATATTTTGACAGCTGTCAAATATTACATTTGACAGCTGTTGAGTATTCCAAATTGTATTATCATCCGAACTTAAACTGTATGCAAAATTTCAGCAAAATCTATTGCGAAGAAATGGTTCACAAATCTGCATCTGTCACATTTGACAGTTGACACCTGTCATTAGTGGTCTAAAATGTATTATCACCCGAACATAAAGTGTATCAAAATTTCAGCAAAATCCGTTGCGAAATAATGGTTCAAAAATCTGCACCTGTCACATTCGACAGTTGACACCTGTCATTAGTGGTCTAAAATGTATTATCACCTGAACTTGAAGTGTACTTATGCTAAATATCAGCAAAATCCGTTGTGAAGAAATGGTTCAAAATCTGCAAGTGTCACAATTTGACAGTTGACACCTATCATGAGCGGTCTAAAACCTTCTTATCATTATTGCCTTTCATATTAAACATTAAGCTGGTTTGAGGCACATCGGTCGGATAGTTTCAAAGTCTATAACGGACATAGGTAGACACACAGACAGACAGACAGACAGAAACAATTTTTGTGTTTTAAACCTCTATTTATTAGTAACAGAAAATTACTACCCACAAAAATACATAACTATTTACTTATTTATTATTTTGTTTTTAATTATAATAATATTCCTATTCTATGGTAGGTATATGTATAATAAGTACCTATATAAAACACAGGCATTTAATTTGTTATACAAAAGACAACTTGGCAACGCAGCCTAGCAAATACGCCTGCATTTGGTGCCTCAAATTAATTTAATCGCAGAAACGACTGATTTTACTAGGACACCAGCGCCATCACGCGGGTTTATATTTTCGCCGGCGGACGGGTCTTCTAGAGACGTAAGTCTATAATATTCTTTGATTTAACCTAATCATGCTCATGCTTCAAAATTCGTCCGGCATAAAAAGCAATGCAGGAACTGTCAGCCAAAAAAAAAACCACTTATGATGAACACTAATGGCATAATGGCAAATTAGGAGCAGATCTTTCTCAATGGGTCCATGCACAACCTTAACACTATATAAAATAAAACCTAAGCTAAATAATAAAAAAATTAACTCAGCCAGTAGATAACAGAGATATTTTAAACGATGTTAAATAATAAATAACCTTTTTGCAGAGGCACAAAACGAACTTACTAAAGCGTCAAACAAAAACAACACTTATCTTCAAAAAACACAAAAGCCTTCCAGCAAAACAGCCACACAAAATATTCTCCGAAACACTCACAAAACAGTTAACAAAAATGGTACTTACAGTGGTGGCTTGTGGTGCTAGCGTATGCTTGCTCATCACAATTGTGGTGGTTTTCAATTCAGAATTTGGTCCGCCTGGGGATTTCGGAGGGGCTACATTTTCTTGCGGTCCTTTTGCCAATGTTTCTACTGCATGCACCACATCTAGCACCTAAAAAACATATCAATTCGGGTTTTTGTGATTTATAATGTAGCGAAATGTACCTTTTCTGCAGGCGTCGGTGGTTTCGCTTCTACAAGCGTAAGATCATCCTCAGATTGATAGAGTGGTTGTAGACGCCTTTCCGTTTCTTCTTTTTCAAACTAAAACAATTGAATAAATAAAATCAATCAATATTGCCTTTAACGGCAATGTGTACAAAATGAAACAGGGATGGCGAGATTAATTTCACCTCCCGTTTTTCTTCCATCTGAACATTTCCTGTAGCATCAAGAATCAAATTGAATACAAAATTGATTTATTAGCAATACCTAATATTTTCTATTCAATTATTAAGAAAATATAAATAAAAATAATGAATAGAAATATGTATAGAATTAGGTTCTCAACTAAAGCAACGTTGTGCCTGAAATTGACTGTATTGGGCTGAATAACCTGTTTGTTTGGCTGGGATTGTTCAAAAGAGAGTTTTGAGTCCTTTATCACATGATTTCGATCACCAGAAAAAGAATTGTCTGACAGATTCAATGTCTTACTTTTATTATGTGAAATGCCCTTCAGTGATCTATAGAGCAAGAATATTTGACTAAATTACCCTGAATATCAAACAAAGGTAATGTAATAATTGTGAATCGGCCTAACAGCATGTTCTATTCATGATTTGACTGTATATGACCTTTATTTCAATATTCATAATACCATATTTATATAAATTCAACAGCAAAAAGCTGCTCTCCAGGTACTAGTGATGTTTTCGATGCCGTTTAGGATGGCATAAAGGTAAGAGAGTGGTGGTGCTGATGATAAGAAACATGGGAAATGTTTTGTGTTTCCAAAACATGATCTCCTCTGAAAATTCTGAGAGTAGTGTTACTGAGGGGAAATGAAGTGTGGGAAAAGGTCTGGGTGATACCTTAATGGTCCTTGTAGGGGTACTCAATACTCATCATATCAAAAAGAGGTTTTCAATCCAGATTTTCCACCAAGGCATCGAAAAAAAAAGGCGAAAAAAACCGTGATGTGTATGTGCAAAGCAGGCTTCGGAAAATAATTTTAATACAATAGACATTGTGGTATCCTCAGAGCGATACGATTAGAGATTCTAAAAACCTACACTTGACAGGTTATATGACTACAAGTAAATAATGAACAAAAGGAATCATGGAGGATTTTCAATGAACTTTGCTAGCCGAAAGGTGTTTTGGAAGTTTGCAATATCATGACTAGCTAAACTGATTCTACTGTTCAATAACTTCAAGTCCTGCTGGTGGTATTGATGATAGTTTTACGTGAATTGCATTAGGGCATAGTTAGAAACGCTTATTTTGCACCGATAGAGATCATCTGGTTGTGGACATCTCATACCAAGATTCTCTTTAATTCCCTATTCTATTTGCAAAAGGAAACTTTGTGTAGCGAGACCCTGAAATACAAACCAAGATACCTGTACACTGTACACCACTTTTTGCCCTACAAAGCTTATCAAGAATGTCTAGCATATTTTCAAAGGAAAAATTCGTATTTTTTAAATACACTTCGCATCAAAATTAACGCACCACTAAAATTTGGCACAATTTCAAATTTAATTTTCTCGGAAACTGCTGGTTCGATTTGGACATATTTTTTTTTTAATTGTAGCTTAAATCTTCAGGAATGACTCTATAAAACAACTTTTCATTTGAATCGAAGTTTTAGGCATATACAGGGTGCTTTAAAAGAAACCAGTTTGATGCCTAATTTTTGTCACATCCTGTGGGACTTTCCATCAGCACCAATAGATGTCTATCTAAATCAAAACATAGCCCCATCTTTTCTGAGCATTTTGTTTTTTTATTCACGTTTCTAGCTCTGTTATTTAATGAAATATGGAGTTTGAAGTTAAAAGGGTTTATTTGAGATTATTCAAGAAAAAGTTTCGGAAGTTAACAAAACAAAAATAAAATTATTGAAAAAATAATGTGGAAAAAAAAAACATTCAATATCGGGTGTTTCTTCCCCTACTCTCTATTACCGCTTGACATCGACGACCCATACTTTGAACCAGACGTCTTATTTGTTCTTGATCGATATTAATCCAAATTTCTCGAACAAAGTTTTCTACATCATTCAAAGACACAGGTAGGGGTTGATGATCTCTAAGCTGCCTACCAATTTGATCCCATAAATGTTCTATAGGATTGAGATCTGGACTGCGTGAAGGCCAGTCCAGAGTCTCAATATCCACCTCATTCAAATAATCTCGCACTATTCTCGCAGTGTGTGGTCTGGCGTTATCTTGCATTAGTAAAAAGTTATCCCCAATATACCCAGCGAAAGGGACCACATGCTCTGACAACATTTCCGTGATGTACCTTGCACTATTTAAAGGTCCTCCACGCAAAGACACGATGTCAGTACGAGCAGTTAAGGAGATTCCGCCCCAAAACATCACAGACCCTCCATTGAATAACTCGGTTTGGCGAATATTACACTGCGAGTAAAGTTCATTTGGTCGTCGAATAACCCTTACTCGTCGGTCGTTGCTGTAAAGACAAAACCTTGTCTCATCTGTAAACAGAACTCGCTCCCAATCTTCAGCATTCCAGTTTACATGTTCCCTGGCAAATTGAAGTCTTGCTCGTATATGGTCTGCATTTAACCTTGGTCCTCTTGCTGGAATTCTGAACCTTAAATTTCTTTCTGCCAGACGTCTCCTTACAGTTGATACACTAACGTTGATATTGGGAGCAGTATTTAATTGTACCCTTAGTTGTCTTGAGGTCACAAAACGTTGCCTCAACGCATTCAGTTGCAAAAATCGGTCATGGATAGCCGCTGTTCCCCGAGTTCTTCCTTGTCCACGGCGCCTGTTGTGGTCATTGGTTTCTTCAAAACGGCGAAATATGCGCAATATTGTCGAATGAGAAACACCCGATCTTCTACCTACAGCTCGGTAGCCCATTCCTTCCTGGATCAATGTAGCCGCCATCACACATTCATCTCGAGTTAAATTTCTTGTTTGACGCTCCATATTTTGCAATGATAACACCAAATGCAGAGAAATTACAGAATAAATTCAAAAATCACTGACAGATAAAGACAGTAGTCTCTGTTTCCATGACAATATCGCGCCTTTGTTTTCCATGGCCTACTTAGATTTACTTACCTGACGGTTATAACTCTTCTTCTTCTTCTTTCTTCTTTTTTCCACATTATTTTTTCAATAATTTTGTTTTTGTTTTGTTAACTTCCGAAACTTTTTCTTGAATAATCTCAAATAAACGCTTTTAACTTCAAACTCCATATTTCATTAAATAACAGAGCTAGAAACGTGAATAAAAAAACAAAATGCTCAGAAAAGATGGGGCTATGTTTTGATTTAGATAGACATCTATTGGTGCAGATGGAAAGTCCCACAGGATGTCACAAAAATTAGGCATCAAACTGGTTTCTTTTAAAACACCCTGTATATGCCTAAAACTTCGATTCAAATGAAAAGTTGTTTTACAGAGTCATTCCTGAAGATTTAAGCTAAAATTAAAAAAAAAATATGTCCAAATCGATTCAGCAGTGTCCAAGAAAATTAAATTTGAAATTGTGCCAAATTTTAGTGGTGCGTTAATTTTGATGCGAAGTGTATAATTTGTATGTATCAGGTGAAAGACAAGAGTACAATCTCGTTTTTTTTGGAGAATTTTTTTGATGCCTTCTCTCAAGTGTGTTTGTAACAAGAATAACTTCATCACCTGTATTTTATTTACGTTTATCCCAAGATTATTCTCCTTGGATTGAACAAGAATGGTCCTTGTTCAAAACTTGATTCTCACTGACTACCAGATGATGGGTCAAAACAATACCCAACATACAAGTGAATGATTGAGTTGAAAACGTAGTAGGAAATATTAAAAGTATACAGAAGGAAGAAAAAGACGTTCGATGATCAGATTATGGTTTTAGATGATATTATCTTTGTAGATATATTCTACTGTTAATATTAACAGGCATAAAATTTAAAGCATTTTTACCTGCAGAATTTCTTCATCAGGAAAATCTAAGCTGCTTACACTCTGGGATCGGCTGCTCACAGATCCGCCCCTAGTTAATCTACCTTCCGATATGGCTCTGTCTATGTCAGCCTTATCGTACCCTTTGCAAACAATAATGTAAATGGTATTTCCACACTGTCTGAGAATATTGACGGCTTCCGCATGTGAAGCCCCTAATAACGACCTGCCGTTAACTTCAATCAGACGCATACCTTCAAAGAAACATTTAAATATACTGTTGTATATTACTTATGATAATTTTTACCAGATTTTAAACGACCATCTCGACGCGCCGCACCCACTGTGTTGATTTTTGATATGAAAACTCCCTCATCTGAACGATCCAAGGGATTTCCTCTTTGTCCTTGCAGACCTCCTTTGATATGCATTCCTAGTCGTTCGGTTTCACCTTTTTCTATTACCAATTCCTAAAAAAATATTGCATGTGAAAAAAAATTATTGGATAAACAATGAAAATTTTTAGAACTCATAAACCTCAAACAATGAAAATTGTAAACTAAATTAGGTTCTACACAAACAAAACTTTAATGTACGACGGCGGATCAAATATAAATAAAAATTATTTTTCAAGTTGTTTAATCTGAAAATTCGTCAACATTTAGAAACAAAACGAATGTCTGAGCCGCTTGTACAGGGTGTTTCAAATTCGAGCCACATCAATGGGATCTCGTAAATGGTAAGATATACAGGGTCGGTTAAATGGGGGCAAAGTTGCGTAAGTTGATGCTTAACAAAATGCCGCTTTGATATTTAGGATATTCCGAATACTTCCGGAGATATCCGGAAAAAACCGAAATTTTGCAAAAATGTTTTTATTTTTTCCTGACTTTATTTGAAGCGATATTCCAAAAAAAAAAATCACATTATTGTTGCCACTTTTTCTCCCCTACAAGATGCTACCATCAAATTTAAAATCTGACATTTCGTCTTTGGGCCACCATCATCAACTCTATTTTTTTAAATACGACCCTGGATTTTTTATTTCAGATTTTTAGTGCTTCTGATGTCCCAAAACCTATGACGGATCGCATTTATTCGAAAAAATATTTTTTCTACTTTTTAGTAATTTCCTACCAAAATTCTCTTCTCTGTCTCTCTCTAACACATTTGGTTCCAATAGAAAGTACCAATAATACAAATTTTTTGAATGAGTGCAATCTGTCATTGGTTTTGGGACATCAAAAGCTTATGAAATCTAAAATAAAAAATAAGGGTCCGCGTTTAAAAAAATGAAGTTGATGATGGTGGCCCAAAGACGAAACGTCGGATTGCAAATTTGATGGTAGCATTTTGTGAGAGGGAAAAGGTGGCAATGATGAAGTGACATTTATTTTGAAATATCACTTCAAATAAGGTCAGGAAAAAATAAAAACAATTTTGCAAAATTTTGTTTTTTTCCGGATATCTCCGGAAGTTTTCAGAATATTCTGAATATCAAAGCGGCATTTTGTTAAGCATCAAATTACGCAACTTTGCCCCCATTTAACCAACCCTGTATATCTTACCGTTTCCGAGATCTCAATGATGTGGCTCGAATCTGAAACACCCTGTACACAGAGTCATGTCTTGTTCTCAAAATGCTTCCCTCTCAACGCCTCTTTTGGGGAACCAAACATGTGGAAATCACATGAACTCAAGTCGGGATTACATGGAGGGAGAATGCGACGATTAACCATCTAGGAGGTCACTAATACCTAGAATATTGGGCTTGCATCAGACGAAGGAAATCTCCCCACCTTTAGAGATAGTTTAATGGCAAAAAAGCAGATGTGGCTGGGAGATGGGAGATTTCTCGAATTATGCACTTAATTGCTGAAGAGTATTCCATTGAACACTATTATCAGGAAACACACTGTTTTACTACCGCGAAAATTCTTATTTTTATTTGAGCCGCCAAAAAACTTTCTATGGACTACAAAGACAAACCACAAACACTGACACGCCAGTACTCACCATTGTATCAAGATAAGTTACCATTAGTTGCTTGCAACAAAAATAATTTATAATATATAGAATACTATTAGAAATGTGAAATAAAAAAAACAATAAAGTAAATTCGACGATAGATTTTGTGCCTTTAATTTAGAAGATTTCTTCCAACAATAAATAATAGTGATTGTTAGTAAGAAAATTCATTCATACAGAACAGTTATTGTGCCTATAAAGACAAACATAAACAATTAAAATTTGACAAAATAATTCATATTTTCGTGAAATACATTCCAAAATTCCCTCTCCCCTACCTGATATCCTTCTGGCAGGGGATCGTGACGAACTGACAAAGTGATACTGTCTCCAGGTCTCAATAGTGCCATTACGGCATCCTGATGAGAAAATTTGGTGATATCTTCACCATTGACTTTCAGAATTCTATCACCAACTCTTAGTTTGCCAGAATTTGCTGCTGTACCACCAGGAACCATCTAAAAGGAGGAATTAGTTATGTTAAGGGTTAAAATTGTATATAAGGAAAACGTACATGAGAAATAAATATTCCTGGTTCTTTATCACCAAAAGGTATGCTAGAGTGATCAGAGCCGCCGATTATACTGAAACCTAGAGAGCCTTCTGCCTTTGAAAGAATTACATCCTGAAAAAAATTATGACATATAGAAGGAATTTGGATATTTAAAATATGCAGGCTATCCATTGTAGAACTTGATTGTATATGTTTGAATTTTATGAACTCTATTATTGTGTTTTTTAATTTTAAAGTGGATACCCTGCATCATCCTTTATAAAAAAATAAATTGAAAATAACAATGCCATGACCCTAAAGTCCATAGATTAGAATCTTAAGGACCCCCTTCTAAGTTAAACCAACTGGCCTAAGTTACAAAAATAACCAGTTTTAAATTTAAAAAAATAATAACATAGTTATTCTCAGTATACTTAATTTATCTAAATATACCTACCCAATTAAAAAGCACTTTTATCAACAATTAAAAAATACCTAAATCATCAATAAAAATACTTTTCAATTGGGTAAACTAGCCTCCTTTCTAAAACTGAAAAATAAAAAAAAAGTTCATAGCGGTTGGCAGTTCATTATGACTTACTCTAATAGAGAAAGTGGTGTGTGTATATAAGGGAAATAGAAGCTGATGTATAGGAAATGGGGATTTATGGCGGATCACTATGTTGAGAATATTACCTGTTTGGCTGTGGCATCTAAAATATGACCGACCCTCATCCTGAATTAGTACCATGCTCAAATGACTTACCCAAATCCAAAATTAATTACCCAAGGAATTACAAAAAAGGATACTTCATAATGAACATGCAATTATTAGTAACTACCCGAGAGATTAAGGATGTTCTCCCATAATAACGGTTTTGGTTATATTATAAAAATTAGATAAATATAGTCGCTACAATTCGTCAAAGTTTGGAGCCAGGTTTTCACAGTCCAAGTGCAGTTGGACCAAGCTTGGCTTCGCTGGTCCAAGTTCTCATCAAAGCACTTGGAACATGTCAACCTGACTTTACTTGGATGCTAGAACCTATCCAAGTGGACTTGGATAAACAGTTTTCACGATCCAAGTAACGTCCAAGTGAGCGCAGCGTCTAAGTTTACTTGATCCAAGTGCACTTGGACCGTGTCAACCTGGCTTTAGCGAAATCTTGTCTGTAGTTTATATTGTATAAAAGAAGTATAATACATACATATACAAAAAAAATAATGTATACCTACTCATCCCCGCGTAGGTAATGATTGTTCAGTTATCACTATTAAGTTTATTTTTGCAACTGCACCAAATAGAAAAAGCTGAAAATGACTGAGTCCAACAATGAACACAAGAAGAGCCTGAAAAATGATTGTATGAAATGTTAATTTTGTCATTCTCATTTCATTTAATTTCTACCTTTGCGATGGAACACAATCAACTATTCAATGCAAATTTTCTGTTTTTTTTTAATAATCCATAATCCAGAAAGTTGAATGAGTGAGAAGAGAAGTGTTTTTAATAGTGCCAATCTCATCTTTCTAAGCGTTTCAAGAACTAAATGATTAAAATTGTACTACATAATATAAGCAAAAAATTCAACAAGGATATCTTTATAAATTAAGATAAAATGATCCACTTCCACACAATTAACAGGAGAACATCCTTGAATAATAGATTAGTATTTCAATTCCCATAACGCCATATCTTCATCTGAAAAGATTCTCAATCATTATTCATTTACTTACAAGAAGCATGGACACTCTTCTTCCTCTACTCCTGGATTTGCAAATAAGTAAAATTTCGTCTTCTGGTAACTTTTCGAATTTTTTAAATCGCATTTGTTGCTCATATTTTTTATTTATCCGCTCGTAATAATCGTCCTTAGAAAAAGCAGAAAAAAAACCGAAACCGAACATTTTTTTCCGATACACTGTTTTATCAAAGTTGTCATGTGAACACTAAAGCAAAATATCAAAAAATATGAAAACTGGAAATGCGTGGCGAAACAAACAAAAACCTTAATCGGAGTGAAATTTTACGCGACTTATCTTGAATGTTTTGTACAGTCAAGGTAAATATTTTTAAACTGGCTATAAATTGTCTATGAATCGCTCTTGAACAACAAATTAATATAGGGTCCTCTACAAAAGTTGGCCTATGAATAATTTTACTAATTATTGCTGATTATGTGGGGCTATTAAAAAACTGATTTTTTATTATGTGGTTCACCAATACAAATAATGATTAATCAAAAACACAGTAAATAAAATTAGACATAAAATTTGGTTCAGAATAAAAGAAAATACAGTATACTTCCAGTCATCTGACTCTCGGTTATTGAATGGCCAGATTAACCAAGCGACATGTAAGGTCGGATTGCATAAAGAAAACCAGCTATTGAATTTTGTATTACCCAAGAGACTCCATTGATTGTTACCGACAAGTTATTGCACTTGCTTAGCTAATGAATAAAAATATTCAGACAAGCCCAATTTATACATATAGGAAAATTACGAAGACGAGAGACAGGAAGAACAGGACCAGCTTGCAGCACTTTTACAAGAATATCGGAGATCAAAAGAAAGACAAAACGAGACAAGATTAATCTTGACACAGCCCGCTCTGGTATATGAAGAAATGAAAGAGATAAAAAGACTATGAATAGACTCATTTTGAGGTTGCTGCAGTGAAGGTGAAAGGTTTCAATATACTTTTAGCTGGTCCATCAAATGACAAAGTAACATTATTTTTAATAGAAGAAATAGAGATCTTACAGCTTTATTAGAAAAGGTTCCCCAGACTAGGAATCCAGTGAATTGAGGATTGTCAGAATACTTACTAACGTGTTTGTCAATTTTAATGATATACTACATTTGAAGTAAACGGTTTTGATTTTCTGTTATGCTGCTTTTGAAAAGCAAGATATTGCAGCAAAAAAGAGCAACTCTAGGAAAAAGAAGTCAGTAATTGATAATTATTATTTTCTTGTAGTAGGAAAGTAGATGATTTAAATTAATTATTTTTGCATAGATCTTTTTCCTTTATCAAAAAGTAACAAAAAATATGTAATAATGCATCAGGATAATGCAAGTCACCGACTATCCGATCGCGGGAGTGTACTTTATTTATCCTACACAAATTTGATAGCTAACATCATTCATTTCATTGCACAATGTTGAGTTGTGCCAACTTTTTTCCTTGACTGTATGTTTATTACTTTTCAGTTAAAACCACATATTAAAATTTACAACAATGGATAGATTTACGATAGCACAAAATAAACGTGGTTTGATTTAATGGAATTTCGCCAAACGCGAACATGCAACATGAACGAATTATTTAATTACACATTTAGATGTTTATTTGAAGTTCCACTATTATGTTTGCAAATATTAGTGACAAACCTACATTATTATTTTCTTGAAAGGAAGTTGAATGATCATTATAACTTTTTTACTATAATTAAACAGGAAGAAGCTCAAAACTATTATCAATCATTGCCCAATTATGAATAGAAAATCTTATATTTAGACCAATAAATTAATAAACAAGCCCGTTAATCCTATAAATCAAGTTAAGCCCCCACAAACAAAATAATAATAATTTCTTCAACATGATGAACTTGCTTCAAGTTACAGTTAGGAATGCCCTTATAATAAATCTGTACAAATTAAAACCAGTTCCAATCTCTCGCTTGTCTGCACACGACAGTTATGCAATTGCAATACCAAATCTACATGCACTTTCTACCTATTTATAGATCAAAATCGAGTCCTTAACTTTTAAAGAGCATGCTGAATGGATGCATTCACTTCTAAACTAGTTCGATAGATCCGCGAATACTCTATTATTTTTACGTAACTGGGAAATTTTTGTTTAATTGACTTGTTTTTGCTATTTACAGGACATGATTTATTAGTAATTGCTTCCACGGTATGTTGAGTGAGGCACCTAATAAATATTATAAGATTTTATTGGGTGATATTATTAAATTAAATTGGATTCTATTAATCGTTTTATAAATGCGGATAAAATATGTTATAGGTAATTTCTCTATATAAAATATAGATATTCTTTAGGGTATTACGTCTCACCTCAAGTAATTCAAAAATTTGCTACAATCTCAGATCTTTGTGCTTTTCATAACCTTTTTCAGAATAATTTTATTCATAATGCAAATTGAGTTTTTCTCGATTTAGTTCTGTCCCACAAAACGCTTAGCGTTAATTATTGTGATCCTCTGGTTCCCACTGATAATCATCATCCACCCCTTTGCTTTAACCTGCCTATCCCGCAATCATGTTACACATCTGCTGGTACTAGAGCCGATTGCTACCATGATTTTAAATCTGCAGACTTTGTATCAATAAACAATTACTTGGGTGCTTTCTGCTGGGATAATCTGTTATCCAATCTGGATGTAGATTCCACGTTGAACACATTTTATGATATTGTCTATAGTTGCTTTAATCTATTTGTTCCAATCAAAAAGGTACCCAAGGGAAAATTTCCTAGGTGGTTCAGTTGGGATCTTATAAAGTCTAACAATACAAAAGAAGATTGCCCATAAAAATTACAACCTAAGATCACAGTGTGCAGTCCTTTCCTGGGAATGTTATAGGAGTTTTGTCCAAAACACTGAAAATTACCTTTCTACTAATTCGAAACCATTTTGGAATTTCTGTAATTCTAAACGCAATGCGCCTGAGATACCTAGGGCCGATACTTTTGCTCTCGATTAACGAATTTGACACGTCGTTAAATTTAGCAAGGTTTTGCATGGGCCAAGGTCTATAAATATGATGTGATTAGAGCACATTCAAACACCTGATTATTTTTAACGGCTGTCAAATTCGAAAACTGAGAACAAAAGTACCGGCACCTAATCTACTCACTCTTGATTATAGTGCTTTCATGGGTCCTGATGCTGCCAACCTATTTGCAGGTTATTTTTCCTTGGTCTACTCTGCCTGTAGCCAACAATGCAATCAAAAGTTGTCATTAAATCATATTAGTGGTCACAATTACTCCATTTCCATATGTGACATATATACTGAGCTTATTAGCTTGAATGCTCACAGGGGTCCGGGTCCTGATAATATTCATCCTGTCTTTCTTAATTATATTATAAAACATTATA